GACAATACATCCACCTGGATTGAATCAAGAGCTAGGTTTCCTGTCTCATTACCAATGCTGATTTCTCCACACCCACTACCCCTCTGCATATCACACCTAATGCAATCACACCCAGGGGTCATTTCGTAGAAAAAGAGCTAGGGGGACTCATTAGCATAACTCATTAGCATATGCCACACCCCCTGACATCACCGGAAGTGTGTCCTCCCCACAGCCGGCGGCGACCTCCAGCGGGCACCAGCAGGGAGCTCCAGGCCCCGCCCTCCCGCACCTCACCCGGGGGGATGGCGTCCCCCCGCGTCCCCCCCCAAATGACCCCTGATCACACCTGCTATTCTCATTCACCTTCTCTTGTCATTCGCCTGCTATCATTGTTCAGCATCTGAAATCACTCTACTCTCCCAGATACAAGGACAGATGGAGTCACATCCTAGCTGTATCTGAAGAAGTCAGCAGTGACCAATGCTCCCTCTAAGCCATGGAGTCTTGTGAGCAAAAATTCTACTTGGTGAGCTACTGGCATTAAAGTTGTGAGCCAGTGATTTGGCTTCTGCACAAATTAGTTTGCTCTGGAGCCCTCCTTCCTGAGCTAAGACAAAAATGTGTGAGCTGGAGGCTAAAAAACTGTGAGCTAGCTCACACTAACTCAGCTTAGAGGGAACACTGGCAGTGACTCGCGAAAACTCATACCCTGCCACACTTTTTATTAGTCTTTAAGGTGCTTCTGGACTCCTGCTCTTTTCTAGTACCTCTCAGATGTATATCTTGCCTCTGGTGAACCCTGGATAGCATTATATTATAAGAACTTATAAATCAGTTTGCATGAAGACAGGCAAAACTGAAAACTGGGAGACCTGATCACTCCACAAACCGCAAGCTATCAGAACTAACTGTAGGAATCTCACTTCCCAAAGGCAGCATCGTCTTTAAGTCCACGTGGGATAAAACCATAATAAAAGCTTTCAGTCCCTGGCTACTTAGAACAGCAAACTTCTCCCTGCACCGTCTCGAACGTCTAGTTACATAAACCACATTGCAAGCAACCTCTGCTCTGTTTTCCAAAAGCATACCAGACAATTGCATAACCATAGTAACAACAGGTACCTTGAAGACTATGCCAGTCTATTGCAAATGTTCTTTTGTTGTTGTTGTTGTTCAGTGTCCCCAGCATTTTGTTTGGTTGCTGGCTACAGTTTTGCATGAGGGACACAAGACCCAAGAGTCAGTCCGACTGACCCCATCCCTACTTACCCTCCGCCATCATCACTGTGCCAAAGCCGAGCACCTCGAGTTCAGTAAAACCTTCGGGGAGAGGGGGTGAAGCTGCCATCTTCGTATGGGAAAGGCCAGGTGACCCACGCCAGCAAACACTCAGAGGCAATCTTGCTTTCTCTCCCTGTCTCTCTTTTTTGCTGGATCTCTGACTCTTCCCAAGGCTCAAGAGGAGCTGCCTTCTTAAAGGGCCGGTTCTTGAGTCATGAGGGCGAATTTGTTTGAAAAGTCCATGAGTACAGCAAATGCCAGCAGCCGCTGGGCATAGTTTTTGAAGTTGCATTACTCACAGGGGAAACAAACATAAACGCTTCTCTCTCTTTTGGCCTTAATGACCATTACGCTGTGAATCTGTGTGCAGTCTCAGTTCATGTTTACACGGCTCTAAAGTTGTTATCCGGATCAGGGGTCATTTCATAGAAGAAGAGGTGCAGGAGCTCATTAGCATAACTTATTAGCATAACGTATTTGCATACGCCACACCCCCTGACATCACCGGAAGTGTGTCAGAAGGCAACACCGCTCCACTGGACTGTTTTGGATTGCTAGGTATTGGGGGGGGGCGTACAGATCTGCCCTCACAGAGGAGGGAGAGCTTGTACCTGAAGGCGGGCCGGGGGGTGGTGGCGGCTCTGCAACTTACCTGGCAGCTTCTTGCTCCTCATGGCCTGACTGAGGGCTGCTGGGAGCAGGGGGTGGGGCTTGTTGCATGTGCCCGCCCCCTGGGCTCCTTACTGCCGGAGTTCCGCTCCCGTGCGCTCCCGCAGGAAATGACCCCTGATCCGGATAAATATTTTTAAAATGTACACACAAGGTGGCCCGCTTCCAGACAGAGGCTGGAAATCTCCTGAAATGACAACTGATCTCCAGGCAACACGAAATCTGTTCTGCTGGAGAAGACGGCTGCTTCTGGAGGGTGCACTGTATGGCATAACTAGGGTTGCCAACCTCCAGCTGGCACCTGGTGATCTCCCACTATTACAATTGATCTCCGGATGACCAAGATCAGTTCCCCTGGATAAAATGGCTGCTTTGGAGGATGGGCCCTATGGCACTGTGTCCTGCTCAGGTCCCTCCCCAAACCCTGCCCTCCCCAGGCTCCGCCCCCCCAAATCTCCAGGTATTTCACAATCCAGAGTTGGCAGACCTAAGAGCATCACATCCTGGTTGAGGTCCCGCCCAGTGTTCCCTCTAAGCTGAGTTAGTGAGCTAGCTCACAGTTTTTTAGCCTCCGGCTCACACATTTTTGCCTTAGCTCAGGAAGGAGGGCTCCAGAGCAGACTAATTTATGCAGTAGCCAAACTGCTCGCTCACAACTTGAATGCCAGTAGCTCACAGAGGAGATTTTTTGCTCACAAGACTCCACAGCTTAGAGGGAGCATTGGTCCCGCCCCTCTCAAAACCCCACCTTCTCCAAGCTCCACCCCCAGATCTCCAGGAAGGTCCCATTGACACACCGTGCCCATTTCAGATGATCATCAACATAGACATTTTAGATCAACAAACCAAAACCAGGCCAGGGGGGCAAAGAATCCATAGGGGTAGGTCCACACACTTAACAGCAGTGCACACCCTAAAAAAGGCTCATGGGAAACTGCTTTTGAAACAGAAGGGAGCGAGTTTCAAAAGTAGCTTGTGATGTGGCTCGGGAAGCGGGGGAAAGGTCAAAATCATTACTGGGCATTAGTGATGGGCCAGGCTCCAGGTGGTCCCCCAAAATGACAACCAATCACCAGGCTACAGAGGTCAGTCCCCCTGAAAACGGTCTGCATCGTAGGGTGGATGTTACGGCTTCATACCCCCTCTGACGTCCCCAGAGGTCATTTCGGGGGGGAACGTGGGGGAACACAGTTCCCCCGGGTGAGGTGCAGGGGGCGGGGCACATGACGAAGCCCCACCCCCTGCTTCCAGCCGCCCCGCTTCTGGCCCTCATTCAGCCAGGAGGAGGCAGGAGAAGAGGGAGGGTAAGTTGCTTCCTCCCCGCCTCTCCCCACCCCTGCCTGCCTGGGGCCAGGGAGGGCCTTGGCGGGGCTTCCTCACACTCCCGCCGGCCTTGCAGGTCCACTGCCGGGCCCCTGATGTCAGGGGGTGTGGCATATGCTAATGAGTTATGCTAATGAGTTCCCCTAGCTCTTTTCCTACAAAATGACCCCTGGACATCCCTCCTCTCCCCAAACCCTGCCCGCTGCAAGTTCTACCCTCAAATTTCCAGGAGTTGGCAACCCTGATGGGCATGCTGAAAATCTCTCTTTCTTCAATTATATCCCAATCTTTTTAGCTCTTATGGGTTCATGAATAGGGCTGCTAGCTCTGGGCTATGAAAGAATTGAGGATTTTTTGGGGGGGCCTTGGGAGGCTGGGGTTTGGGGACGGGAAGGACCTCAACAGGGAATAATGCCTAAGAGGCCACCTTCCAAAGCAGCCATTTTCTCTAGGTGAATTGGTCTCTGCAGGGGTTATTTCGTAGAAAAAGAGGTGCAGGAGCTCATTAGCATAACTCATTAGCATAACTTATTTGCGTATGCCACATCCCCTGACATCACCGGAAGTGTGTCAGAAGGCAACACCCACTGCTCAGGTGCCACTGGACTGTGTTCGATTGCTAGCTGTTGGGGGGGGGACGTGCAGCTCTGCCCTCACAGAGGAGGGAGAGCTTGTACCTGAATAAAACTTGGCCTTAAAGGTGCCACTGGACTCTTTTGGATTGTAAGCTATGAGGGGGGCCTCTGCAACTTACCTGGCTGCTTCTTGCTCTTTGTGGCCTGGGGCTGCTGGGAGCCGGGGGTGAGGCTTGTTGCATGTGCCCACCCCCTGGGCTCTTTACTGCCGGAGCTCCGCTCCTGTGAGCTCCTGCAGGAAATGACCCCTGGGTCTCTGTCACCTGGAGATCAGTTGTAACCCCAGAAGGTCTCCAGCCACTACATGAAGGTTGCAAACCAAAGAGAGAGATCACGGGATGGAAGTTGAGAAGAAGCAAACAACCTTGATGTATAATGCCAAACAAGTCTTTAAGGACTAGGAATTTCTTTTTCCAATATTTCAGTTTACTGGAAGCCATTCAAACGCCATCAGCACCAACGTACCATGCATATTATATCTCGTTTCGTGCACAACTTTATCAAAGTGGGTAGCATTGAAATGCAATATTAATTCATTTGACAAACTCTCTAGTAGTATGATTTGATGCGTGTCACTATGAGATATGAGATATGAGAACTAACATCAAAAAATGATGTCCTCATCATCATAGGGGACTGGAATGCTAAAGTAGGAAGTCAAAAGGTAACCGGAATGACAGACAAGTTTGGCCTTGGAAAACAAAATGAAGCAGGGCAAAGGTTAACAGAGTTTTGTCAAGAGAACACACTGGTCATAGCAAACACCCTTTCCCAACAACCGAAGAGGCGACTCTACACATGGACATCACCAGATGGGAAACATTGAAATCAGATTGACTATATAATTTGCAGTCAAAGATGGAGAAGCTCTATCCAGTCAGTAAAAACAAGACCTGGAGCTGACTGTGGCTCAGATTATGAGCTACTCATCGCAAAATTTAGGCTTAAACTGAAGAAAGTTGGGAAAACCACTAGGCCATTCAGGTTTGACCTAGATCGCATCCCAGATGAATATACAGTAGAGGTGAAGAATAGATTCAAGGGTCTAGATTTGATAGATAGAGTGCCTGAAGAACTATGGACGGAGGTTCGTGACATTGTACGGGAGGCAGCAATCACCACCATCCCAAAGAAAAAGAAATGCAAGAAAGCAAAGTGGCTGTCTGATGAGGCTTTACAAATAGCAGAGGAAAGAAGGAAAGTGAAAGGCAAAGGCGAAAAGGAAAGATTTACCCAACTGAACGCAGATTTCCAGAGAACAGCAAGGAGAGATAAGGAGGCCTTCCTGAATGAACAGTGCAAAGTAATAGAAGAAAACAATAGAATGAGAAGGACTGCGACTGAACAACAAATGAGATACTACTAGAGAGTTTGTCAATGGATTAATATTGTATTTCAACGCTACCCACTTTGATAAAGTTATACACGAAACGAGATATAATAGGCATGGTACGTTGGTGTTGATGGCGTTTGAATTGCATCCAGTAAACTGAATATTGAAAAAGGAAATTCCTAGTCCTTGGAGACTTTTTTGTTTGCTTCTTCTCAACTACTCGAAGGTTGGCAAACCTAGTTCCTGAAGTGGGTCACAGTCATAAAATAAAGGAAACAAATGATTCAAATAAACAGCCTAAAAATAGAAATCCCAACTAGATATCTCACCCTGTGTCCATTAACCATTGTACAAAAATCCCTAGTGAAAAGCCTGTGTGCAAAATAAGGTCTTACTGTTAACACCCTGCTTGGGTAGCATTCATATTCTTGAGCAGGGTGGCAGTGTTTGAATCAGTCCCTATGAGAGCTTCGTCACATCAGACCAAATGCCTTTTAACTCCCACTAGCTTGTTGTCTGACCTACTATCTCTGAATTCTGGAAGAGAAGGCGTTCTGGGAAAAGATCCCAGAACTTTGCAGTTTGATGCCTTTGTGTGAAAAAGAATATACTTTCTTCTTTAAATGCCTGTTTACCACCATCGTTCTTTTAAAATCAGGGCGTCTCCAGGTCACGGGCAGTCTCTGTCCCATTTCCTGTTTATCCAAATGGAAGATGGCAACAGCAAGAACCCGGAATGTGATATTACCCCACTGAAAACATTGCTCATTACTTTCTTATCTTCAACACTGTCCCACCTGAAAATGCTGTAGGGCTGCCAACCTCCAGGGGATGGCTGGAGATCTCCTAGGATTGCAACTGCTCTCCGGGTGACAGGGATGGAGAAAATGGCTGCTTTGGAAGGTGGACTTTATGGCATTATACCCCATTGAAGTTCCTCACATCCCCAAGCCCTGCCCTCCTCAGAGTCCACCCCAAAATCTCCAGGTATTTCCCAATGTGGAGATGGCAACTGTAGAAGAAGAAGAAGAAGAAGAAGAAGAAGAAGAGGAGGAGGAGGAGGAGGAGGAGGAGGAGGAGATTGGATTTATACCCCGCCCTTCACTA